TAAAGTCTCCCTAAAGGGGGTCTGAGCTTAACCCCACAACGCAGAAACCCGCAAAACGGGAGGTGAAAAGAACATTGAAACTAACTCAAAATGGAAAACTTCTGCATTTATATTGTCCCAGAGAACACGTGTAAAGCCCGGGCAGGCGCTGTGTCAGTTTACTGAGAGTCTGAGCCCCATCAGGGGCTTTGAAGACCCCCTCCCCAAGCCACCATACATCAGAGCTTAGTGTTTGCACAATAAGCAGCGGGGACTGGGATGTCCCTGTCCCCTCCGAGGGGGGTTTGGCCACACAGATGTGGGCATCTGTCCTCCAGGGATGCAGGCAAGTGTCCATATTCAGTTCCCAGGTCTGCATCAAGGGGCTTGGCTTCATCACCAAGGTCCTTTGGGATGTGGTCACATCCAGATCCATTGTGCCCTACTCACTTGTGCTCCCGTTGCTCCGGCACAGGTCCTGGAGGTCTGTGGAGGCAACACATGAGCCCCATTAGCAACCAGTTAAGCTTAAAATAAGCCACTTAAATAAACTGACATGGTCTTTACCCCATCAGAACAATGCACTCACAGCGCACAACGGTGTCCCTGATCTGCCTGAAGCTGTTCTCCTTCATGTAGATGTAGTAGAGGTTTCGCAGCTCCTTGGGATAATCCTTCCGATCCACACCCTTCAGCACAGGGATGGTGCGCCCATTGGCCATCGGGGCTTCAGCCAGCGCCTGGTGCATCTGGTACTTGCACCACGGATCCTGGAGGAAGCCGGGAGTGATGAACATGACCCAGCAGTGGCTGTTCTGCACAGCCTCACACAGCTCCGTCACCACCGCGCTGCCCGGCGCCGCGTCCCGCAGCTGGAGGAAGCAGCGGAAGCTTTCGGGCTGGCCCTCCAGGTAGGACACCAGCTCCTCCACCACCTCCAGGTCCACCTCACTGTGGCAGATGCAGACGTCATAGCTCTTAGCCCAGCGGGCGCTGCCTGAGGCCGTGATGTCCGACACCAACATGGGTGATGGGTGGATGGACCGGCTCAGGCTTGTGCTGGAAGAGGAGCTGGAGCTCTCAGCAGAGGATGAGGAAGGTGAGGAGGAAGTAGAGTGGCTGGTGTTGAGGCTGCTCTCCACTGACCTCGGCTTGGGCTTGTGCAGGAGCCGCTTAAACCAACCTGCGGAGCCAGAGAGACCATAGAGAGGTTTTCGGGGAGGGCTTCCAGGACACCTCCAGATGGGATCTTGCTCTGACCCCCAAAAACCACTCCATCCCCTAAAACATCTGCTACCATGACACATGGATGCATCCATGTGGGCACCCTCGTGTTTTGGTGGGAAGGGGATGGACCCAGAGGGTTCATCCCCCGGCACTCACCAGCCATAACGGGCACCGTGCTGCTCAGCTGCCGATCGCCAGCCTGAAACCTCTCCTGCCAGCAGGAAAAATAAGGGATAAAAGAAGAAATGAGGAGAGCAGGCACCAGCCTGCAGCAGGCCTCAGCCCCCAGAGCTCAGTGGGGTTTACCCCACCCCCAAAATCACCTTTAGCAACGTTTTCCTGCACCCACCTCCCCAGTATTTGCCAGGAAGAGGCAGCTCAAGCCCTCCTGCTCTATACCAGAGATACATACCTATGGAGAGCGAGGCCGAGAGCCAACAGGCAGGAGACACCCTCATTCCCGGCGGTGGGGAAAGGATCCTGTGGAGGGAGAAGCGGGATCAACAGGGATCACCCAGGATCAACAGGCTGGGTGAATCAAATGAGGGCTTGGGTGAAGCCCAGGTCCCATCTCAGCACATACAAACCACATTGCCCAAGCAAGCCACTGCTTACTAATAGTGAAAAGCTATTGCTATTCATGGATGGTGAAAGGCGTGGGGAGAAGTTTGGGGGATGCCTACCTGGGATGCAGGAGCTGGGCACCGGAGTAGGGAAGGGGGATGCATCAGCCCCTGGGTTCAGCAAGGAGGATCTTCTGGGATCACCTAGGTGGGAAAGAAGAGGTAGGATACAACATGTTCACTCCAGAGCCTAACGGGATCCACAGTGAATGGCGAGGCTGATCCATCCCTACAGCTTCCCCATCTGGAGCAGCTCCTGATGGAGCAGCCCAAGTGGAGGGGAGGACAGAGGCACCCACCAGCTTCCCTAGGGACAGAGTGGAAGAGCTGCCCCATCCTCAGTCCCCTGAGATCCCCCCAGCTGGGGGCAGGTCCGGGTTCCACGGGGCATGCGGAAGCACAGGCAGGGGAAGCAGCTCAGCCCTGCCCCGGGCCTCCCTCCCACATCCGCCACCAGCCAGGCGTCACCGCGCCCAGCACGCACCAGCAACCCCAGCTGACCTCGGGGTGGACACTGAGCCCTCTGCCCACCACTGCGACACTGCCGCAGCTGAGCTGGCTCAGCATCCCCTTCACTGTTCACTCTGGAGCAGAGTGATGGCCGTCACGGTCCCACTGTGGCACCCCAGGCTGCCGCACTGGGTGTCAGGCCACCATCTATGGGGCCTGCACCTCTACCCAGCTCAATGCCCTCATGAATACAACACTCGGTGCTTATCATCCTAATTTCAGACTTGTTTTGCTTCCCCTTCCATCCCCAAACATGCCATGCCCCAAGGGAGGCCATTTACCCACCCGTGTATGCGTCAACCCGCAAGCTACCACCCCACAAACCCGAGTTCCCACTGGATGGCCCCCCACACCCTGCCTTCACTATGATATCATCATTATTAAAGGAAGCAATGTAATTAAGGAGGCACAGCTTGATGCACAACATGCCTTGACCCACCAGCAGCACAAGTGTGTTTCAGCTATGGTGTCGCCGGGCTGGTCATCACTGGGAAGCCTGTGTCCTATTCAATTGCCTGCAAAGAGCATTAGGAAGTGGCTTGAAAACAGGGTAAGCGCAATGCAGGGTCAAAGCCAGCCCCCAAAAGGCGTTCAGGTGAGAGAAATCAGGCTACTTTTGCCCCTAAATACGCCTGTAAGCAACACGCTTCATTACGGTGCTAACACAGAGCGTTACAGCAGCCA